GGTGAATCCATACTGTAACTATTTGAAGCAATTTGGGAAAGCGAAAAGGGTGGGTTTCACACTTCCCTGATAGCTAAATGGATGATCCTACATTATGGGAAATAGATAAGTAAATAATAATATAAGTAGTAGGTGTTATATGAGTAGTACATTTTATCGACTCTTGTATGAATGTTCGTAAATATGTTTCAGCTAAAGTCAATTTGCCTTCTCAGACGGGATGAAGTTCTCGCTAATATTGCATAAAAGCATTACGCCATTCAGCTTTCAAATTGTCCACCATATTTCCTGTACATCTCAACAATTCTTATTTATTGACGCCGTTATTGACTGTGATTGTTCTACCAACTACTAACCCTATCAACACATGCACGTCTCCATGCTCATTTTGATCGCCTCGCCCACTCGGGCAGGATGCCAAGCAATCCTGTCGGAGGACTCCGTCTCATCTACATCGGTGCTCTGGAGCGCCAAAATGTCAGTCGTGCTGAGCTGGAGTCGGAGCAGTCTATGGAGAGAATTGAGGCTGGGGGAACTCTGGGCTCCCCATCTGCCAAATCGCTGGCGACGCCAACGGATCTGGAGAAAGGCGGCCCAACCACCACAGCCTCAGCCCGCGCCCGATTCTGGTACTGCCACCAAGTCGTCGTGGTTGAGCCGATGACGAGACGACGATATCGCTTCTTCGTGGACAAGTGGTTGCCGGTACTTGCGGATCTGGACAAGCGAGCCGGTGCACAAGTTGCATCGAGTGAAGTGAAAGAAGACTCGGCCAAAGAGATGGTGGCCAAGCTGCGCAGTGAGTACTTTCTAGCGCGTCATTAAATGAAAAGAATCTGCCGTTGACCCTACCACAGGCTATCACGGGGCTGGATTCCCTCGATCTAGTAGCACGAAATTAGGCAATGCATGCAATCTCAGGAAAACCGGCAAAAAGGTCAACAAAAACTGCTTATAAAAGTGGTTTGACTCTGTTCTCAAATAAAGTCCACCTTTGGATCAACTGTCTACTGAACAGTGGTGATAACTTTCTTTCGGTCCTGATACATTGACTGCGACAACACTACAGACAATACCATTTTAGTCTTCACATCTTCGAAGAACAACTTATGCTTAATATGAGTAGAATTTTCCCACAATGATATGGGTAGAGCTGACGTTTCCTTCGAATTTCACAAAGCCTTGCTTTCCCAAAAGTTGTTCTCATCCAAGCACCAGTGGACTGCAGTTTCTACCTCGCACCGGTCTCATCAACACCCCCAGCGGGAGTCGAATGGTGACGGTGCAGAACGTGAGCTTGACACGTTAACCACTCGGTCACAGGATAGATGTGAATTTCGAGGAAGGCCATACCATATTCTTTGGTGGGATTGTCGATGAAGTAAGCGTATATTTGCCATAACAATCGACTACGTTACTTATTTTTCATATGTAAGTAGAGTTTCGATACTACCAGTAAATCAGTAATATGAGATCTATTCACCGTATTTCGTTTAAGGTGACGTATGAATAATAGGAGAATTTTCCCACAATGATATGAGTA